GGTTCAAAAAGAAAATGAACAAAGTAAAAAAAATAAAGGGATTCAAAGAAAGCAAAAGATGAAAGGCATGAAAAGATTAGAAAGAAGAAAAACAATTGAAATGAACAAGAAAGAGTGCCAGTGTGTCTCTCTAGCCCCTAAAGAAGAAGTGAATGACTCAAAGAGTCGAGAAAATGTGTGCCAAAATGAAGCAAATGAAGTGCTTAAGGGAAGATGAAACCTTCTTAGACCAATATATCTTACCCTGAACCAAAAGCCTTCATTACATTCCCACAAAAGCCCTATATGATCTTGAGTTGAGTGAGCTTACATTAGTGGTGACTCACATAAGGGGCAAGCTTATGGTACTTAGAGCCGGACTTCTGACCTTCCTTTGAAAGAGATGAGTGTGTTTCTCACAATCCTCGTTCTGAGTGCTACAATCTAAAAGTGAGGTTTGCTTATGGAGAGTTGAGGAGTATGAGTTTGGGTTCCACAACGACCAATATAACATAAAGAGTTTCCTTGATGAGTTGAGTCAACTTTTGATGTTTTTGTGTCGCACTATAGCCATGTTACTAAAAGGTATGTATTGTTGATAATGTATTTGAGTTGAGGGTAATTGTTAGTCCCAATGGATTCTTGATGAGGTTACTTTAGGTCAGCTGAATTTTCTTGGTTTTATTCTTAAGAAGGTGTGACTTACTTTGTTTGCTTGAGGACAAGCAAAAGCTTAAGTTTAGGGGAGTTGATAACTAGGGATTCTAGTATATTTTATACTCCCTTTTTCTTGATTTTTGGATTAAAAGTGTATACAAGTAATCCCAAAAGCTTACATGTTGTGCTTGTTTGCAGTGTTTGGTCAAAAAGTGACAAGGAAGTCAAAAATCAGCTCAAAAAGGAGTGAAACCTACCCAAGCGCCGAGAACAAGTCAAAGCACCGTTACAGCAGTAAATCCACAGCAGCTGCAATCGATCCACCACGACCACGGTCTTTTATCGCGATCCACGGTGGCAAAGATCAGAGAAGATGAAATTCTGGAATTTCAAGCAACGCGGCCGTGGTAGCCTCATCGCGGCCACGGTCCATTTGTTGCGGTCCGCAGAGAAGAGATTCAGAGAACCTAATGTTTGGAAGTTTTCAAGACACCACTGACCGCGGTTGATTTTATGCGGCAACGGTGTAGCCATCGCCGCCGCGGTCAATTTATTGCGATCCGTGGTGGGCAGATTCAGAGAACAAGATTTGAAGCCAAAATGCCTCACCGCGGCTACAATCCATTTTCCGCCGTCCGCGATACCTCCTTCAGAGGCATTTTTGTCCAGAAAATTTAACCTTGTATAAATACTTCTTTTTCAGATTTTTAGGTCATCTTATAGGTAGTTGAGCACGTGAACGCCACCTTTTAGCTATTTTGAGTAATTTTGTAGCTAGTTTAACATTGAATCTTCAAATCTTAGCTTGTAATTATATTTTATGGGTTATTTTTCATCTCAATATCTAATTTCTTCCATTATTATGAGTAGCTAGACCCATTAGCTAGGGTTGTGGCTCAACCCTAGTGTGGGTATTTGATGTGTCTCTTGTTTTAGGGCTTAGATGTTTATGGATGGTTGATATTTGGCCTGATTTGTATTTTCCATGTTGAATTAGTGGTTGCAAACACTAATTTGTGCCTTTTTGACTTGGACTCTTTTTGAGAAAGAGAGTTTGAGTCTAGGAAAATCAGGCCAACAAGGAATTGGGGCGTTTCAAGAGATTGATAGCCCCAATTAAAGGGTTAAACCTAGAGATAGTAATACCCGACTTGAGCCTATATTGCTTGCACAATTTTGACACCCAATTGGTCTTGAGAAAGCCAATTAGGGCAAAGTCACTCAAGTTACCGAGAGGTATAGAGTGAGTAGTTTCGTGCATTGGCTATATCGCGATCCCAAACATAACAAGTTTGCCTTAGGCTTTAGAACCCGTCAAGTATTCACCTAGGAGGAAATCACTTCCCTAGTGCCTCTTTACCCATTTAGAAAACCCTACATACATATCTACTTAGCTTAATTTCGCACATCATTAATATAAAATTAGAAGTAACAAACAAACAAACATGACTGGAAGTGCAATTAAAACCACTACGCACTACTCGATTAGATAGGAATCCAACTCCAAATTCATCTAGCTCCCTGTGGTTCGATCCTGACCTTCTTGGGTAAAAACTGCATCAACCGCTCTTGCCACTCTGTAGTGGTGTAGGGTTGGACCTGATCACTTAGGAATATTGAAATTTGGGGATTTAGACCTCAAATTGAGGTCGGATTCTAAAACCAATTGTATATCCGGGCTCGGGGGTGAATAGGTAATCGGGTTTTGGTCCGAATTTTAGGTTTGGACCAAGCGGGTCCGGGATCGATTTTTGACATTTTGGGGAAAACATTGAAAAATCTATATTCATGCATTAGAATTGGTTTATTTAGCATTTATTGATGTTATTAAGTAAACTATGACTCGATACAAGCGGATTGGAAGTGGAACCAAGAGGTAAAGCGGTAATTGAGGCTTGAATTTTGACCGTGGAATTGAGGTAAGTGTTTGGTCTAACATTAGCTTGAGGGAATATGTATTGTGGTCTTATTTGCTATGTGTCAGTGTTGAGTACGACGTATAGGTGGGGTGACGAGTATCTATACGTTGGTGTCAAGCATGCTCGTGAATCTTATACTATGATTGTTGTGACTCTTATTATGTATTGTCCATGCTTAAATTGAGGACTATCACCATTGAACAAGACTTATGATAACTTCTTGGTAATTGATCATTGATGAGTATTGGCTCAAGTTGAGATTTATTTTGTAAAGTAACTGTTGGAACGAGATTGGTTATAACTGATTCCCTTGCCGGGATGTATTTGTTTCTATTGTTGATTCCCTTGTCAGGATGTATTATTTCTATTGTTTGGGTGAGGAAGAGTGTAAAGCATGAAGGGTGATGCAATGCATGATATTGTGAGTGAGTGTTAATGCACGAAGGGTGATGTCATGCCGATATTGTGAGCGTTAATGCACGAAGGGTGATGTAGTGCCATGATTTATGAGAGTTAAAGCGCGAAGGGTGATGCCGTGCCGTTTCTTTTATTTCTTATGGTGAGGACGAGAGTAAAAACACGAAGGGCGAGAGTAAAAACACGAAGGGTAATGTTGTGCACGTGTTATTGTTTCCTTATTCTTGTTGATACAAATATGGTGTTCATTATGCTTATCTATTGAATTACTGTTAGAATTTGATATTCCCTACAACATGTTTCCCTTCCCATCTATATCTGTTATTTCCTGTTACTATTGTTATGTTCATATATGATTTAACTATACAGGTTTATATGGTTGTTGTGTCCTAGCCTCGTCACTACTTCGCCGAGGTTAGGCTCGACACTTACCAGTACATGGGGTCGGTTGTACTGATATTGCACTTTACACTTTTGTGCAGATCTCGGTGCCGGATCCTTTGAGTAGATTCGAGGTTGATGCCTTCAGTCCAGGGAGACCAAGGTAGATCTGCTGGCGTCCGCAGAGCCTAAAGTCCCCTTCCCCCGTTTCAATTTTTTGTTGTCTCTTCTATCTCGAGAACAATTGTACTTCTTTCAGACTTATATTTGTAGTAAATCTTAGTCATTCATGGATTGTGACACCAGATATATGGGGTAGCTATGTACTTGAGTTGTGGTATTGTTATATCATTTTCACATTTCTTAATTATCTTGTTTTAACTAATATCTGTTCCCTTTTGAATTAATAATAATAGTGGTAAAACTATAACTGTTGGCTTGCCTAGCTTTCACGAGTAGGCGCCATCAGGATTCCTGAAGGTGGAAAATTTGGGTTGTGAGAACAATGGAATCTGATTCAAACAATGGAAACTGAGAGGATGTCCAGGTATTTGATGAAAGCTCTCACAGAGATGAGGTTAGTGCTTCTCTTATGCAATCTACGCTTGTTTCTGAAGATCTTGTTTCGGCAAGTATCGATCCAATTAAGGAATCCTCAGCAACATGCGAATGCGAGGTTTTTGATAATTTTTCTCAAGGAGTTGGGAAAACTTTTCAAGAATTCTCACCTATGGCAGATGACTAAAATTATTTGTCCTGTTCTCGGCAAAGAGCTGGAGTCGGAGAATGAAGATTGTGGAAATACCCATATCATTATCCCTGCCTATAGACTTCCTTTTATCATTGGCAATGGAGAAGGTAGCATAGTTACATACGAAGATGACAAACACTCTAGAAATGATATGTGTCAGTTGTTTGATAATTCTTCGTATCATGCCGGTTAACCTTTTGTTGACAATGAAATAGTCAAATCACTCGGGGACAGGAATGACCTCTTGATTTTGGATGGAATCAGATTGATTCATGAGCATATATCTATATACCTTCCATTTGATCCCGGTGAGTCTGTTCCTCCACACATTTTATTTGAGCACTTGAATGTACATTTGGATAAATCACAGTACTTGCCCATTACACTACATTATGGTGTATTCAGCTTTGTGGACAATTTCGAGATAGCTACGGAGTTGTTAGCAAGTTCAATCAATAATTTTAATTCCTTAGTGGTTTCCTTTTGTTTCAATTGGAATGTGGAAACCCGAAGTGGAACTACTATTGCGGAGGAGGAAAATCACAAACCAATGTAGTCGTAGCATTTGACAACATTCTTCAAAGGGTTCCAAATAGTCTTCTGCTAAGTCCAATTTCACATAAAAGTCATGGGTGATTCTTTTTCTTAGCTGTGTGTCTGTTCTACCACGTGATAGGAAGTTTATATTGGCTAATGAGGTCCTTGATATTGAGACATATGTTCCTGATGATATCTTGTTGGTTGAGTCTGCAAACCCAGTTTGATTGGAAGAGTTCGTGTTAAAGCAGTCTTTGCGATAGAATTTTCAGTGTTTATTTCTGAGTTGCATAGTACTGAATCGCTCGACTACTTTACCTATATCATTTTATAAGGACAAGTGTTATATGTACCTTCCAATGGTACTATGTGCTGTAGGGAAGTTATTTGATGGAACCATCACCCTAAGATGTTCGATAGAGAAAGATCATGCCGATAGTTTTAGACAGCTCCCAAATGTTGTCCACAATGGCCATTTTATGGTTGTTATGCATAAGGAGCTTAATCTAGAGATTTCCCTGCTGGTTAGCAAGGATGAATATGCAACGCAAGTGACTATTTTTGGACTTCATATCTTCATCAATGGAGTGAATGACTTTCTCCTTGGTCCGTGGCCATCCATAACAAATAATGCAAAGGACCTAGTTCCAACAATGCTACCAGAGGATGAAGATATGAAACAGAGAAGTACTTCCGCAAAAGTTATCAAACAACTATGGCTTCAATGGGAGGAAGCATCAGACAAGCCAATAGACCATGTAGTGTTGTCCAAACTGAAGCAGTTCAGGATAATATGCAATCTCATGAAACCAACAATAACGGTCACTGCAGCAGATTTTTCAGAAGAAGAAATCAAGTATCTAAAATATGTGTTCGCCAGCATGGATACAAACAGCAGTGGAACAATAACTTATGAAAGAATAAAAGCTGGATTGGCTCGACTTGCTTCAAAACTTTCAGAAGCTAAAGTCCAACAACTCATGCACGCTAGTGTTTTGAAGTTTGAGGGCTCCTTTGATTGGATAACACTGTTTTTACTTCAAGACAAAATACATGATGCAACTTCACACTTAGCTAGATTGATCTCATTGTGGTCAGATGGTGATCCTAATTGTACTGTTATGTTTCTAGTACCTAGATGTCAGGCAGAACTATGGGAAGAGAAAATCAACTATCCTACTGTTGTTTTGTATTTACTGTTTTCTATTGACAAGGTCAAGCGGATATTGCTGCATTTTCTGCTTTACTCGAACCTTGAGGACAAGGTTCTTTTTTAGGCCAGAGGTATTGTTGTGAACCCGCATGACTCAATATGGGCTTATGGGCTAGAAGCGTGCAACAAAGCTGATCCAGTTGGGAATATTAGGCCTGGAACTAAATTGAGAAGAGGCCCAATGACTAAATAACCGAATAGAATGCTAGGACATTATATTTGTGATCCGGGGGGAATACATGGCATCCGAATGGTAGACAATAAATTATGTCGAGAAAATAAAATCAAGACCGAAAAATATTGCAACAATCGTAGTATTTTATTCCAAATATTTGAGTGTTACAATCTCTATGATTCCTCTGATTCTGTTTCCAATATAAATTCAAGGGCATTTGAGCTTGATCTTGAATTTTAATTTGATTTATCCGTCGTGAACACTTTGATTGTTGCCACGAATTTTATCACGAATAAGTTTTGAACGCCTTGTATTTGATTTGACTTTGTTTTTGATCTTGAATACTTGAATTGTTCTTCGTTCTTGAGCTTGAACTTGATTTGTTCTTCATTCTTGAACTTGAACTTGATTTCTTGAACTTGAACTTAGTTGCTTGTAGCCTGAAACTTGTAGAGAAATTTATGGCGTTTGATCCACGAGCCTTCTCTTGCTTCTTGTTACAACTTCTAGTCTCATTTTTGAGTTATGAAGACCCCTATTTATAGTTGTGGAAGGGAAGAGTTGTAATGGGAACAAATTCCTTCCGACCAATCAGATTGAAGAGTGTCAATTCCGTATTTGATTGGGTAGAACATGTCACTTACACTTGTGGAAGGGAAGAGTTGTAATGGGAACAAATTCCTTCCGACCAATCAGATTGAAGAGTGTCAATTCCGTATTTGATTGGGTAGAACATGTCACTTACACTTGTGGAAGGGAAGAGTTGTAATGGGAACAAACTCCTTCCGACCAATCAGATTGAAGAGTGTCAATTCCGTATTTGATTGGCTAGAACATGTCACTTACACATGTGGATCGGTTCACTACAAAAAAAAGTCAAATTGCGGCAGCTATTTTTACAAATTGCAGCAGTCGGTAACTCCCGCAATTTGTTGTTGCAGCGGTTCACAAAACTTCTGCTAGAAGGTTCACCGCAATCAATTTACAGTAGTTTTTCCGCGACCGCCGTAATTAATTAGTGGCAGTTAATTTGTGGCAGTTCAACCCCCGTAAATTGATTATTAAATTATTAAAAAATTTATATTTTTTACAAGTTCTGGCAGTCTGAACCTATGCAACATAGGAAATCATTATTTAGCAATACAAAAATTACGGCAGTCAAAACCCATGCAATTCATTGAACGTATTAATTTCTTTTACTGTATTTTTTACAATTATTGAACTTTGAATATTATCTACTAATGAACCTTTCCTCACCATAATCTAACCAAAAAAGATATAATATAACACTTAGAAACTAAACTTTGAATATTATATAACACTTAGAAATATCAACAACATAGTTAGCATCACAAAAGTATTACTTTCATATATAAATGGTGTGGGGCCACAAAAATGCTCCCATGGCAAAAATTCCTAAACAACTCAAAGCAAATTCAGCAATGTTTCTAGCTACATACAGTAGCGACGGAAGAGCTATCTCCGATATAGCAATCAGCCTCTATATTTAGTTGCTCGAAACGAACTTAGTTTTCAAACTAAATTTTAACATAAAACATTCACCCTAGCCATTCTAACATATGTTCCAATCACATAATTACAGTGTCATAATCAATTATCTAATTCAATTATAAAAAACTTCAATTGTTTTCACTTGGATTATTGCCATCAGATGATCTTCTTGCGCCGTGGGTGATAGGGATCCACTAGCTGCATCTCTAGGCTGCAAACAAAATAAAACAATAAGATCCTTTAAATGCTAATTATAACTTAAGCTATTTCTTAAATAAAAATTTGAACCAATTCCATCCTTTATTCTGTAGTCAAAATTTTAACACACATGAAACTAGGAATTCAGCAGTACATTTAAACAGTTGGAAAATTAGTTTATCAGGGAAGCTCAAATAGCAGCTCTTTCCTGTTTAAAAGGTGCCCTCGGGTCTTCGTTCTTGAGACATTGTCAAAAGCTACAAGTGTGTAAGAGATCAACAAATTTATTTGTTTTCACTATACTATTTTGACCTCATAGCACATCGTTGATGCAGGATAGGACATAAACATATGATTGTCCAGCCAAACAAGAATGACAACAGAAGTACTTTGAGCATATTCTGGAGTGCTGCATTCAGCAGAAAAATCATGCTCAAGTTCATCATGTAAACAAGCAAACATGGATTTTACAGAGTGCCAAAACCACTAGAACGGACAAGGAAAGCACGTGTCTTGTGACACCAGGTCAGCTAATATCAATTGATGCAGCTCCTGATGCAGATATTATCAGTTGAAAAAAAAATCACAAGTTTATTTACCGTTGTAGGAGGAGAAGCAAAGAACTCCGCAAATTGCTCCGGTATTGTCCCTTCTTTCATTATCATATATGCCTTGAAAGCATTCATCATTTGTTTGTAGTTCTCTTGGCTTTGGTTGTGAGCATTCAACAATTTATTGTAGTTCTCTTGGCAATGGTTCAAACATGAAGCATCACTACTTGAAGCATTCATACCACCAAAACGAGGTCTTGCATGTTTAAAAACTTTGCTAGGGACAGCTCCTAATCCTAAGCACCTTACCCTTCCAGAGTGCTCTTTTCCTAGCACTTCACCAACAACATCATTCGGCGAAACTTCAGACTCATCCACCGTGCTTTGGCTCAAAACAAGCTCAATTTTTTCCTATATATTGTTTGTCACAATATTAATAAGTAACTAAATGCACACCAAGACAAGCAAAAAAGAGATAGCTGCTGAAATGCATCAAGCCAGACACTTTAAAAGTATAAATACATCTAGAAGTTTCACCTTTACACCTACATTCCTTTCATACCTTGTCTTGCTCCTCTATAAATCTTAATGTTACAAACTTTGAGCAATCATTTATCCCATTGAGGGTTAGTTCTCTTGGCCTAATAACAAGAAAACTGACCTTTAATTTTTTTTTATCAAAACTCCTGCACAATGGAGAGTTATGCTACATGTTCAAACCAGTACTCTTCACGCATAAGAGTTGCAATGATTTTAGCACTTGTTTCAGCTGTTGTGTTATCGCCATTGTACGTAGAACGACGAAACAAAGAGAGCAGTTATTACGAGACAAGATGTAGCTCCGGGGGGATTGTATTGCCTGTGTTACTAGCTGGATTAATAGTTGCAATTAAAACCACTTCATCATCAGGACAAAGAGATACTGTTATTTCCAAGAAAAAGCAGATAATGTTTCAAACAAGAAAGGAAGAAACAAATTGTAGACTTATTTGACATTACAACCCATTGATAAATATCAAAAAAGATACATAACTAGTCTGGAACAAGCTGAAACTAATAGTGAATCAGACAGATACATATATTAGATTTCATACCCCAAAAAGGAATAACCTTCAACAATCACAAAGATAAAGAAGAAACTTACACATATCTCCTTTGCCGCCTCATTCACATATGTTCCATCTTGTTTCTTATGAGTATCAAGATAAAGCTGTGCGCGTCCAGTCTCAGCCATCTATAAATAAAATAACCAACAGAATAACTTAACTGGAATAGTTACATAAGTTAGTTTAATAATTAAAGTAAAACGACATGAATTAACATCTTTCACCATTTCAGCCCTTCTTCTGGAGTTAGGTTTGGAGCCACCTGTATGTGTAAATTTTTGTTTCTTTCGAATTTCAGTATTCCTTTTGCACATTTCATTACAAAAAAAAAATACTTGAAAGTCAATCACACAAATAACTAAATATAATCAAACATAAAAGTTGAAGTAATTAAATAAATACCAAAGTTGTTTCTTTAAAACGGTAATCAACAAATGAAGTCCACTGATCCCGTGGAATCCCAGTCGGAATATTTTCCATAATCTGAGCTTTACTTTTGAGTGGATCATAGAATGCTCTCCACAAGTTTAGCCTATTCGCACTCCACTTTTTCCAAATTGAATTATAAACATAACGCCGTGCAACTGACTCGACTGTCTTAAAACAAAACCGTTTCTTCAAGAATAAAACATTGGTTAGCTTATCTGCTACATGCAAATATGAAGTCCAACAATAAAATAGACATGTAGCAGAAAGAATTAAAGCTTATACCTTTACAATTCGATCAAATACATGGTCAAAGTATGATATAGGTAAATATGGCCATTTCTCAAAGTGAATTGGAAATAAGGCGCAATCAGTTGCTAAAATTCCACAAAAGCCAGCAATAAGGCCTTGTGCTTCTCCAAATGGTTCGTCCAGGTAATCGAATTCAAGCACGATGCATTCTTCACCAGATAAATTTAGAACATCCCTAACTTTCACTTTGAGCCTCTTCCTATTTTCTTCTGAATCTTTAATAAAAAAAAAAAAAGCCAAGAGAAAAAAGGTTACTAAACTTCAACAGTTACTAACTTCAGCAGTTATCATTATGTCTTTAACCCAAAAATAGCTCAAGCATTCTAAACCGAACTCTATTTCTACTGATTGCTCTATTTTCTGCCATACACAGTCTTTCTAATGCCAAAGCATTCTTCATTATCACTAAGTAGCTCAAATTTGATGCTTAAAAAATAATCCAGCAGCATTTTGGGGACTTTTAGCAGAGAAGGAGAAGAAGAAGAAGAGGAAAAAATAAAAAAAAATTAAAAAAATAAACCAGCAGCAATTTGGGAACTTTTAGCAGAGGAGGAGGAGGAGGAGAAGAAGCAGAAGAAGAAGAAGAAGAAGAAGAAGAAGAAGAAGAAGAAGAAGAAGAAGAAGAAGAAGAAGAAGAAGAAGAAGAAGAAGAAGAAGAAAGTGTACCTATAGCATCTACAATCCAATGTTGCATTGACTCACGTTCAATACGCTTTCTGGATGGTGCAGGGTGTGATGCGACCTGAACTGATGAAGTTGGCTATGATATGGTCTGAAAGGATGAAGCCGATTGTGATACGGTCTGAAAGGACAAAGTCGGCTGTGATGTAGACTGAAAGGACGAAGTCGGCTGTGATGCAGAATGAAAGGACGAAGTCGGTTGTGATGCGACTTGAACCAATGGAGCCAATTGTTATGTGGCCTGAACTGACGAACCAAGCTGTGATGTGGCCTGAACCAATGAAGCTGGCTTTTTTGTTGCCTGAACTGACGAACCGAACTGTGATGGAACCGACGAAGCCGGCTTTGTTGTTGCTTGAACTGACAGGGCTGGTTATACATTCCCCTGAATTGACTTTTGCAAGTTGTGCCAACGCTTGGTCTTCGGCATATCTGTAATTAACAAAAGATAAGCAAATTAAATAAATGCTGATATAAACTAATCAAAACTTCCATTCAGATTAAGTGATAAAACAAAACTCTTAATATGATATAGATTCATGTCAAACCAGCTTACAATAACAGAAATGCCTAATGATATATCAACACTCACTTAGTTGCATATTTTAAAGATATTCATACAAGTTATAACAGCAAAGTATGTTTTAAGATTGCATAACAAAAAAGAAACTACAAACATAAACAAAATTCTGTTATACATATGATATAAACATTGAACATTGCTTCTCTATATCTATCCAGACATATGCTCCTCTATTGCAATTTGGATATTTTCATAACCAACATCAAAAAATTGTTCAAATTCTTGTTGTTGGTATGGCTCGTTCTCATATACTTCTTCTTCATCAACCTCTCCCACATCAACCTCTCCCATGTCAAATAAATCTCTTGGCTTTAGATGTACAGCCACACTCCATCCTTCATCATTTTCATCATCAACATAGTAAACCATATTTGCTTGAGATGTTTCAATATAAGGATCATGATCCTCACAATCACTGGTGTGAATCAATTTAGAAAAATTGATACAATTAAAATTCCAAACATCTCTTTTGAACCCTCTATCCAGAGTAGTGTCAGCCCACTGACATTTGAAGAGCACAACCTTGAACCAGCCATAATAATTAAGTTTAATAATATCTTCCAGCTTCCCGTAATATGGCAAGTCTGCTTGCCTCGCATTTCTATCAGCATTCGATGAAATGCAAAAAGTGTCAGAAATAAGAAAAACTCCACTATTTTGAGTTTGCAATCCTTGTTCTCTAGACAAAATCCGAAATTTGAATCCATTAACGTTATAAGCCGTGAATCTTCTTCTTGCATTTGGCGCTGGACCTTGTGCTAAGAACTTAATATCATCAGATATTGTGTTTGCTATATCCGGATTCATAATCTAAATACAAAAAATAATTTCGTCAAACTTAAAAATTAAAATAAGAAAGCTACGAAAACACATTCTAATACCATTCACTCACTCGCTTTGGAAACCAATCAGAGAACTCTTTAGTAACTCTTCTCTCTACCTCTATTGCTGAAGGTCTTCGCCCTCTTGAACTCCTTTTGATGTGTTGCCTAAATTCACTAATGAAGCGTTATACGTATTAATTCAATTCACGTTACTCTAAAACTTCTTTCATAGATCAAATAAAATTAAATTTCTTACTCAATAAATGGCTTCACTGCAGCACAATTGAGTAACACATAGCGATGAGCTTGAGTTTTCTCCAAAGGAGTCAAGGAGAATGTTGTGGAGCCTCCAACCGGTTTACCTTGTTGAGGGAACATAGATGACCTTTCAGAAGCATTGCTATGATTTGGTTCATCACTGAAACGCTTAGGCCTATTTACTCTACACTCAATATCCTCAAAATACCGAGAACAAAGAATTAGAGCTTCTTCAAATATGTAACTTTCAGCTATAGAACCTTCTGCTTGTGGTTTATTTCCTACCAGGGACTTCAAATGACCTAAGAATCTGGAACATAAAAGGCATCATATTAATACAAGTATTTACATTGAAACAATATTACAAGATAAATTCAAATAATGTCAAAAAAGAAGTTGTACCTTTCTACAAAATATATCCACCGGTAATGTACTGGGCCACCTTGTATTATTTCATCCACTAGATGGACGGTTAAGTGTACCATTACAGTAAAAAATGATGGAGGGAACAACATCTCCAGGTGGGAAAGAGTGATTACAATCCGATCTTGTAGCTTTTCTAGGTCCGAGAGGCTCAAGTTTTTCAGACAAAGATGTCTAAAAAAGGAAGAAAACTCTACCAAAACTGCAACAACGTGGTTTGGAAGCACATTATGAATTGCAATCGGCAACAATTGTTCCATAATGATGTGACAATCATGGCTTTTTAATCCAAAGATTCGTTTTTGATCCAAATCAATACAACGAGATATATTACTTGCGTAACTATCTGGCATTGAGAATTCTTTAAAGTTTTTAGGAAAGATACTTTCTTCTCTTTTGGAATTGTAAAAGCAACAAGCTGGTAATCATCTTTCTCGTCTGGCCCAAGATCACGTCTTACACCCATATCTCGTAGATCTTTTTTAGCCTTAACATGATCCTTTGATTTTTCTTTATCATTTAGCAACGAGTATATAATATTATCAAACACATTCTTTTCAATATGCATAGGGTCTAAATTATGGCGTAATGAGTTGAATTCCCAATACGGAAGACCGAAGAATATGCTTTTTTTTCTCCATTGCTGAGTTACATCTTCCCCAACACTCTTTTGCCTATTTCTTTTTCTTTTATCATTCAACTCTGCTGGTTTTCCAAATGTAATATCAATATCTTTCACTTGTTGTAAAATGTCGGACCCAGATAATTTATTTGGGGGCCGGGGGGCCTCTCTTCCACATTTCCATCAAAGCGAAGCTTCATCAATCTAAATTTGTGATTTCTTGCCAAAAATCGACGATGGCCAATAAAGCACCACTTTCTACTATGCCGAAGTCGACAAGGTTCTGTATCAAAATTACAAGAGGGACATGCAAAACAAGTATGTGTGTTCCAACCAGATAAGATATTAAGTCCAGGAAAATTACTGACTGTCCACATAAGAGCTGCTCGCATTCTAAATATTTCATCCTTTGATGAATCAAAAATTTCCACACCTTTACTCCACAACTCATTCAACTCCTTAATAAGGGGTTGCAGGTATACATCTATATTATTCCCCGCCGTACGTGGACCTAGAATCATCATTGAGAGGATAAAATTTGGTTGCTTCATACACAACCAAGGTGGAAGATTATATGGAACCAAAATCACTGACCAAATGCTATAATTAGTACTCATCATCCCAAAAGGGTTAAGACCATCACTAGCTAGGCCTAATCGAACATTTCGAGGATCAGAAGAAAATTCAGGAAACGTTGAATCAAACCTCTTCCATGCCTCACCGTCTCTAGGATGCCTTATGATTCCATCTTTGTTACCACCCACCGCATGCCATCTCATATGCTCTGCCGTCTTAGAACACATGAACAATCTTTGTAACCTTGATTTTAATGGAAAGTAACGCAAAACTTTTGCAGGCTTCTTCTTTTGCTTCTTAGTTGTAGCAAACTGCTTCTTCTTACCTGAAGCAGACACAACATTTTGTTGCTTTTCTTATCAGGCTTCCACCTAGAAGCGTGGCAATACTTGCATGTTTCTTCATCAATATCATCTTCCCAGTACAACATGCAGTCATTCGGACAAGCATCGATCTTAACATAATCAAGACACAACTTATTGATGGTATTCTTGGCCTCATAAAAAGATATAGGGATTTTTGCAAATTTAAATGCATCCCTAAGTAGATCTAGTATCATAGTCATTTCCTTGTTACTCAACCCAGACAAACACTTTATGTGATATAACTTTAACAAAAACTCTAACTTTGAGTACTTGGACCCTTCGTACAGTTCTTGATTTCCATTTATAAGCAAGTCAAAAAAGTCTTTGTTGTATGAAGCTGGCATTTCGTTTAACATTTCTTCTTCTCCCACTACTTGTGATGGACCTACATCAACGCTCTCATGTCTTAAGCCCCCAAATGCTTCATTAATCAATAATTCTATAGGATTTTCGGGAGGTATTGTATCATGGGTAACCTCTATGTTGTTAGAACTATGCACCACATCCATTTCCCTATGCATAAACCAAGTGACATAATTTTCAGGGAATGGTTTGCAGCCCAAATGGTAAAATACTATATCTTTAGTCTGCCACTTTCTAAAGCCACATTTAGGACATGCACATTTTATTCTATCTCTTATAGCTCCATTCTTAAATGCAAATTCTATAAATTGATTCAAACCAAGCAAATATTCTGGTGTGTTCCTCGACATTCTAATCCAAGACTTATCCATTGAAAAAATAGATTAGTGTGAAACAATATTCACCTACAAGATTTTCAAAGCTTTAAGATTAGAGACATATTTAACACTTTATAAGACAAAAAAAGTAGAGGTAATGTTCTACTAATTATCTAGCATGATAAGACCAACTGAGAATGCTACAACAAGCTACTTAATTTCTCAATTGACTACATTACATTAAGCCTTTTGCATTAAAGTAATGTTAAGCAGCCATAAAAGATAACCATATTTACCAACTTAATACTCTCCTTATAACATCTGGTTGAAAAGCAGCTCAACATGATAGCACATCAGTTTAAGTACATATTCAGAGGACAACTTCAGTGGAATTAAAACACATTGCACATGCAGATCCCCACCATTATTATGATATGATGGAACACTTAGTATGTTTATGAAAGATCAGGTGATCAGCAGCAACACTAAGACAAAATTAAAAAATCTACTTCATTGTATTGTCAAGTCTTACTATTAAAAAATCTACTTCATTGTACTGCCCTCCGGAGAAAATTAAAATTCCAATCTTATCATAGTCACTACCATTTTCTAGGATACGTTACACCATTCATTACTTGTCTATAGCAATTAACAGAAGAAGTCTAACTCCAAGAAGATATGGTCGAACAATGCAAACAATAGAGAAAGGCAGGGAGAGTGACAAAAGGTTTATTGCTTACTGCTTACATTAATTGATTATGTAGAGATACGCTTAGTAAACACTTTCTTAATATGATTCTCTAGTTCCTTATTAACTAAAGGTTTCATTATCGGGTGAAGTTCACTGTATTGCACTGTTTCTTCCATCTGCGCCTTCTTCTTTAACAATAGAGAGGTTAATGTTGCCTTGGGTTTAAGGTCTCTCTCAATGAAGAGAGGTGAATCAAACTAAATTGAAGGCCTACTACTTTGATTTAGAACCAATCAAACTTATTCAGTGATTGTGTACAAGTTATAATTTCACATTGTGAATCTGTTGTAATGAAATAATCATAGTAACAATCATACAATAAGTAAGTATCTGTTTAAAATTATAGCATATTAACCATAATACATCTATTGTACCAAGGGATTGTTGAATTTGGCAAATCCCACATCGGTGGGTTAGCCATTTGGTAGTGATATTTTTCCTATAAAAGGAGGCCTAATGTTTAGGATTTAAACACACCTCTCATTTGCCTTCTTATCTTCTTAAGGCATTTGTATCTTCTCTCTTTAGTATTATTTCACTTGTATTTTTGAAGTGGAATAAAATATTGGTTGTGTCCGAGGAGTAGACAAAATTGGCCGAACCTCGTAAATTTTGGTATTCCTTTTATTGTTGTTTTATTGTCTTATTTATTATTTGGCGGCTGTCATAATTTTTGGTATAGTAGTTATGACTCATTCACACTATATATATTTGGCTTCCACAACAATTGGTATCAGAGCCAAGGTATTGTCTAAGTATGCTCTGTGGTTGCAGCATAGTCTGATCTTCCACATCAGAAAAGATTTATCTTGATAACTGAGTCAAGGTTCTGTCTGAGTATGCTTTGTAATTGCAGCTTAGTCTGATCTTCTACATCAGAAAGGAAATAATCTTGATTTGTGTCGTCAGCTATTAAATAATATTTGTGTCAAATATGGGAGACAATAAACAAGAAGAATCTACATCAAGTGTCAACAATACGTCATCATTCGCATCT